TACTACATGAAAATGAAAATTAATGAATACACTGTGTACAGTAATTTACCTGATAAGACAGACCTGAGAAAAATACTTTATGAGAGCTTTTATACTTTTATAAAGCTGTCTATAATGAAAATTAATTAACTAAGGATTTTTTTGCCCTGCCAGGGTGTGGCCGAGTTATCCGGAGTGCCGGGTTATCGAGAGCCGAGTTTTCGAGGTTCTACTGTATATGTGCTTACACTTAGTATAGTGTACAATATTTTATTTTGATGAAGACTCTTTCTGTACAAAGTTTTTTATATTGATTATATTTATGTAGTTAGTAATTTGTTAGATATGTCTTTTTTAGCATTTTCAGATTTCTGATGTATTATTTGTCTGTACTGACATTCAATATGTAAAATGATAGTCTTGAATCTATGTTTACTAAGAACTTTCTCACTTTTTGACCAAAATTTTCATCTCCATGTTTTATAGTATTAAAAAAATAGTAGTTTAGGTTATTTTTCACTTACATATTTCTCTAAATCTTCAAATAGCATATTTAAAGAAAGTTCTTGGTTATTTGACTACATTTCATTTTTTCCAAAATAAAAAAACAAATGTTTAAAACATATTTAGAACTTGTATCAGTAACAACCTAAAGTTTTATTTCTAAACTTGTAAGATTTATAAACTATGTACTGAATAAATTTGCTCATCTTCAGATATATTCCATTGTGAAATATAACAAAGCAAGTACATTTTTCTAAACTTGAAAAAGCAAAACAAATTTATTAATTTTTAGTTGGATTTTTCTAATTGACTTAACCTCAAATTTAATATATTTCAAAATCCATGTAAAACCTATTCCAACATACTTTCAAAAGAAAGTAGAGAAGTTGCAGCCAAAGTTCAAACGTTAAACTTGTACGGCAAGCAGAAGTACATGTTTGATGTTTGAACTCCAAGTAAAACAGGTTGCACCACATGTTCATGTCACACACTGACTTATGGGATATTGTTGAAAAATGGCGGAAATATTTAACAACAATGAATGTTACTAGCAAAGGTAAATAAACAAATTAAACTACTTTAAAGAATTTGTAGGATGTTTAATAACACTAAATAATTATTTTTAATTAGCATTGTGTCTCCTACTGTAAGATAGGACTACCTCATACTTTTGTTGAGAGAAGTAGTGGCTTATGTAAATCTGAAAGCAGCTTGGGAAACTATTTTTAGAAAATTTATAAACATATTACACTGTTGATGTTAGAAGATGCTGTGAAAGAACAAACCTACTCCTACAGAATTATAAGCTATTATGAACATAAATATATGTAAATTCTATAGGCACTTTACATCATTTGCAAAAAAATTGAATAATTAAATAATTTCTGGATTAAAATCATCTATTTCTTTACAATATTATTCATAAATGCTTGAATAATCATTATTTTAATAAAATATGTCATAATTTTAACCCCAAACACAAAAAAATTAAGAAGTTTAAATCGAACTTCTACTCACCATGCTAGACATAGCAAATGCTATTCTAGAATTGCCAGATGGCAGTGCTTGACGTTCGACATTCACGTTTTTGCGATGAAAATGTCTGCTGCAACCTATCTAGTAAATCTGAAAGAATAGACCACAAATAATTACTTCTAACTTTTTGCTACATTTTCTACTTATAATCAACAAAAATATATTATTATATCTTTCTTAGAGAATTTTTAGATATAATTTTACCATTGTGAGCCTACATTGATACAATTATTAAAAAAAAATTAAAAGATATAAAAAATGAGTTGGTAGAATTTGTTACAAAATTACTTTTATACAAAATCTTATTTGATATACTTGTGCTAAAATGGTTTTTATTTTCTGATTCATTAATATCTTCTTTATTATGATTCTATCAGAAACTAGTTATTTACTTTTATATTCAGAATTTTCATCTGATAAAATGCTTTTTTTAAAACTCTCTCAAACATTCAAGACTTTCTGAAATATAAGTTTTTATATTTCAAAATATCTAGAATATTCTTAAAATTTGGTTTCTATCAATCTCTACTTCTCAGAACAAAAAAAACTGTGGATTTCATCTTTATCTAAGACATTAGATGCTGCTGATCAAATTGATCTGTTTGGTGATTTTAGATAAATTGCTATCCAAAAATTTCACAGTATCAAAGAAATAGAAAAAAAAATTTAAATTTTGGTTTTAACTTTTATTATATACTTATATAATAAAATTAAATATTATTATATAAAAAGCCAAAAGATATCACATTTGTAAGACCAGAATGTAAAAAACTACAGCAAATTGAAAAAAACTGGTATAGCAGTTGCAGTGTTAATTAAATTAACAGGAATGAACTGCTTATTTATTATATGAATGTATTATTTCAATATGGACAAGTGAATTTGAAATTCATTATTTATTTTTGTTTTCTCATTGTATAGGTTATCTTGAGTGAAATAAAATTTAATTTAGGAATAGAAAATGGAACAGAAAGTTGTGCAGTTACTTTTAGTAAAGTAAGTTATAAATAATTCTGATTATCCTGAACATTTGAGATTAATTTTAGTATTGAATATATTTATATAATAATAATAAATTTTTTATATGTTTAATAAATAATAAACAGGCAGTTCTAAAACATATTACTTTTCTACAGCTAAATATTTTAAATAATAATACATTTTTATATAATTCTATCATTTGTTGTTTCCTAACTCTTGATAAGACTATCTTTAAAATTTTTTTACATTTTTATCAAAGATCATTTATTGCAAGTAAACAAACTCTCTTCCTAAATTAACTCTCTCTCTCTCTGCTTAACTTGACTGATTATAAAATAAAATCAACTAAATATATGTTTATATAATATACACAATATGTCCCAAATGACAATATTAGTAGTGGATACCTATTGTACATTTCTTATATTTTGCATTTTATGAATTTTACCTTAATGAATATTTTTGTCATATTTGAAATTTTTGAATACTAAATCAACAATGAAACAATATTTATTGTTATGGTGATGTTAAAATATATTCTATTTGGTTTATTTATTTGTGCCTAATGCCATGTCAGACAAAGGTCAAGACATAGCTACAGAAAAAGTTTTGTTCATGTGCTGTTTGTGTATGTCTCTATGTTTAAGAATTTCTTGACAATGTGACATGCATTTAATATGGCAGTCTCCTGTAGTGTAATAGCCCTAATGTTCTCAGACTTTTGTGTATGTATGTGGTATGATGCCTAAGCAAAGAAGGACTACTAGCATAATAAGTATGTTATAATAAATACTGTGTTATCCATTCTTCACAGATACACTTTATTTTATGGGTGAGCTCTGAGTTATTTATTTTTTTCAGTGTATCTATGTATATGTTGTGGGTGTTTAGTAAAGCTATGTTTATGTTGTACATGGTTTTGTTTTGTTTGTCAATGAATGTGATGTCTGGTCTGCTGTAATGAATAGTTTTGTTCATAGTTATGGCACAGTCATAGTATGTTTTGTGTGTGTTATTTTTTATGACTGTCTGAGGTGTGTGTATTTGTGTTTGTATGCAAACTTTTGTTGTATTATGTTTGCTATTTCATTATGTTGATATAAGTAGTCTGTGTTTAAAACAGATAACCAAGTGTTATATAGTCTTGTGCATGATATGACGTTTTTACAAGTGTTGTCTGTATTATATCTTTTAAGATTTGCTTTCTATAGTTTTTTGTATTTATGATTTGTCCATGAGTGACAATCATGAACCCTTTCATCTCTCCAAAGAGATCCATGAATCAGCCAGCGGTTTGATACAATTCTTTCAATGTTATCCTGGCTGAGATTATCATCATTATGAACTCATATCTCTTTACCCAAACTTATATCTTTAAAGCTAATAAATATTCAGTTAATTCTTCTATACATATAATATAATAATTTCAGAGAACTAGTTAAAAACTGACTGTCAAGTTTATTTTGTAACNAGTTTTCTAACATATTTTTTATTTTTGCAGGGAATGTCTTCATCTGATTGAAGATACACCACCTGTTATTGAAGAAGAACTTGATTTAATATCATCTCTACCATTACTACAAGAATTTTCTATAAACATATTACCACTTAAAGGTTTATAAAATAAAATAAATTTTGTATAACTTATTTACAAATTTTTAATCTATTAAATAATGTTTTATTTAAAATTAATACATAAACATTTTATTTGTCAGTTAGGCTATGCGAAAATCGCTTGGAATTCATTAAACAAGCTCTGAAAGCAAAGCCAAAAGCATACAAAAATTCACAAAAGGTGTCATTTATATTAATGAATCAAAAAAAATAAAAATATTTAAAAAAAATAAAAATATTATATTATAAAAGCAAATATATTCATTATGTTAATTTAATCATTTCAGTTATTACGACTGTCATATTTTCTTCGTGTCTGTGGTCAAGATAAACAGCAGAGAGAAGGAAAAGTATTATCTTTAATAGCTGAAGTTGCTTTTGAGGTTTATAATTTTCTTATAATATTCAAGTTGTAAAAATAAATTTTATTCTTTAGTTATTTATTCAGAAAAATGTATATTTTAGGCAAAAGATTACCAAGATTGTTATAATATTTGTCAGCAACTAATGACTGGTGGTCATGAAGAAGGTTGGTCAATATGTCAAAAAATGGGAAGCTGTAATGAATTTAAAAATATTGAAGCAAAGTATGTAACATTATCACAATATTTTTAGTCTATTATTTATATATCATTTTAATGCTGTAAATTTAGAATTTATATAAATCTTAATTATTCAAATTGTATTGGTTATTGAATTCATCAATATATGTTATATTAATACAGATTATCTATAATAGGTTATAGAATTCATAGCTTGATTTATGGCAAGTTTTCTAGAAATATTTTATAGAAACAAAAATAGGTAATTATAGAATTGAAGTATGTGTTATTTTGGGAAGAAATTTTTTAAGCAGACAATAATTTACATGTACAGTACATATAACTATTGGTCAGGAGAGAAGGAAAATTATTTTAATTAGCTAGTAATAGTTTAATTACAAATCTCATAATAAAGAAGTTATTTTTTAAAATTATATATTATATAATGTAATTAATATATGTATATATAGTTATAAAAAATAATGTTCTAATTAAGGAAAAGGCAGTTTAATTAGGTAAATTTAAAAATTAAAAATTGCAGCATAATTTTATAACACTTAAATTTAGCTTACTTCTTATAATCATATTAAAAATATATAGTTTTCTTACATAACAAATATTTTTATTTTCATAAAATTTAATGCAATCTTTTTTAATAAAATTTCTAAAACAGATTAAAATTTTAAATATATATATTTGTTTACAGTAATTAAAACATAATGTAAATCTTATATACTTCTGTGTAAAAAATTATTCCAATATTCTTTAATAATAAAATATTGATATATTAATGATATCCAATTACAAAAATATACCCTTAACATTTTATCTCAATATTCATTTAGCTATATTTTATTTCATGATAGATTTTTCAGTTTTAATCTCTGAAGGAATTAAGTTGTTTATTTTGTTTTTGTATGAAATTATATTGTACAAAACAAATATTGATAAAATTTTAAGCAGTGTTTCTCAAACTATGGGTCACATTAAAATTTTAATTGGTTGCAAAATGATACTACCTTCCACAGAAACACTTGTAATTCTCATATTACTGAAATATTCTGTAAGAACTATAAACAGTAGCTATATCTTTGTGAATTGCTTTTTGTCTTTACGTTACAATATGAAACTATGAGCACTAAGTTTTGGCTCTGTGGAGGACATATAGTTGGAGTAATCACACAGAAGTTGGTAGACACAAGTTTATTATTCCATCATCATAATAAACCTGTTTCTACTTACTTTTGTGTTATTGCTTTGATTACATAAATAGTGTTGATAAATCCTCCATAGAGCCAAAACTTAGTTAGTGCTCATAGTTTCATATAGTAGATGTATCTGTTAAGTATAAAAATTTTTTAACAACTGTTTTTTTTATAATTATTATTATTGTCATTTAGTAATAAAATTAAGATTATAGAATATATGTAGATGAAATTGATTTCTCTTTTCTATTTTGAATAACATCAAAATAAATATTTTATGTAAGGTCATAGTCATAAAGCCATTTGAGTTGCAGTGATTTTGAAAATATTTTTTTGATTTGTTTTTTGAAACCGTGTCCTGTTTTATATTTGTGGATTTGTGGAAAGAATTTGATGGAAAATTTGCCATGTGTCTTTGGAATAAAACACAATACTAGTGTTTACTACACCACAAATATTTTTTTGTTTATTCAAACTTGTAGGTTTATTGTCATTCATAATAAATTATAAAAAATAAATAACAAATGCATTTTGGCACAAATAGATCAATAAATAATTATTAAAGAATTATTTTTTGTGTATATACAAAATAGCATTGATAAAACCTTCTTACAGTCTGAAAAGTACATTTTAAAAAGAGGCTCATTAAGTTTATAAAAAAAACTTGTAGTATTTTGAAAATAAAATTGGCTTCTGAATAATTTAGAAACAGTCTGTTTTATTTATAGTCATCAGGCTTACATTTTTTAATAGTTAAATTTCAATAACAAATAACTTAAAAAAATTTAGTCAATAACAAAAACTGAATTTGATGAAAGTTATTTGTTACAGATTGAAATTGGCTTGAATCACTCTTAATAGAAATGTGATCAATGTTACATTTCACACGCAGAAGATATTATCAATAATGTATAATTTTATTTTGTTGTATAATATATGGTGATTTCAGTTTACCAGGTTTTTTAAAAATTTGATATTATAAACATTTTGGTTGCAGAATCATTACAAACAAATATTGTACATTGGTCATACAAGCAAAAAGTTTGAGAAATGTTGATTTATACTATTTAATTTTATTTTATGAAATTTTTTAAGCTTCTTTATTTTTTTTTATTAGCTTTATAGTTTTAATTTATATATTTGATAAAGATTATAAAAGTGATTATTTACAATGTAAACTATAATGTTTAATCAGAAACTATTTTTTATCAATAGATGCAAATTATTGTCATTTGCAATTTCTCATTGTTCACCTGATTTATTAGTGTCATTGTTACAAATAAGAGGGCATCTAGAGCTTCAAGTAAGTTAAATTTTGAGTAAAATTTTTATACATTATTATATAGAAAATTCTGTAGATAAAAGTTTTATTAAATTTTTATAAATAATAATAATGTTAATAAAAATATTAATTGTAATTGGTGATTGTTTAATCATCTACACCACCAATTACAATTTGCTATTTTAAACTGTTTTTGCCAGTCATTTTGCCAGTTGTCATAAACATTTTGTAAAACTAATATAGAATTTTTCATGAAAGTATTATCATGTATTATAAATTTTAGTTTAAATATAAACCAGTAAACAAGTTGCTCAATTTTCCTGGCAACATTTAAAATTTTGGTGATGCCATCTGTTATCATATTTTATTTAAAAAATTTATATTTTTAACTATTACAAAATGGCAAAAACCTTAATTTTGATGGTAGGGATGAGTTTTATAAAAAAATTTTAAATGCTAATAACGAGTAAAGTCATTAAGTTGATCCTACTGGAGATACACATTATCCCCATTATCTCCCCACCCCTCAACCTTTAATTACCAAAATTTAATATCATCAATCCCCCTAATACACAAACCTCCCTGAAAAATTTCAGAAATTTTTGACAAAACGTACAGGAGCTATTAAGCTTTAAACAGAGTGAACAAAATCATGCTCCACCCACCCACCCACACACAAACAACTATACACATACATGAACACACACTAACATCCACCATACATACAGAAATTATCCCCAAATTTTTTTACATTTCTCGACATTTCAAGATGTCCTAAGTCCAAAAATGTAAAAATCTTGAGTGCCCTTTTTTTGACCCATTACCATATTTTCCTCTGTTATATATAACAGCCAGGAAAGTAATAATGATAATATAACTTAAAAAGTATAAGCACTTAAAATTAAAATTTTATTATTATATGTGCTTACACTTAGTATAGTGTACAATATTTTATTTTGATGAAGACTCTTTCTGTACAAAGTTTTTTATATTGATTATATTTATGTAGTTAGTAATTTGTTAGATATGTCTTTTTTAGCATTTTCAGATTTCTGATGTATTATTTGTCTGTACTGACATTCAATATGTAAAATGATAGTCTTGAATCTATGTTTACTAAGAACTTTCTCACTTTTTGACCAAAATTTTCATCTCCATGTTTTATACTATTAAAAAAATAGTAGTTTAGGTTATTTTTCATTTACATATTTCTCTAAATCTTCAAATAGCATATTTAAAGAAAGTTCTTGGTTATTTGACTACATTTCATTTTTTCCAAAATAAAAAAACAAATGTTTAAAACATATTTAGAACTTGTATCAGTAACAACCTAAAGTTTTATTTCTAAACTTGTAAGATTTATAAACTATGTACTGAATAAATTTGCTCATCTTCAGATATATTCCATTGTGAAATATAACAAAGCAAGTACATTTTTCTAAACTTGAAAAAGCAAAACAAATTTATTAATTTTTAGTTGGATTTTTCTAATTGACTTAACCTCAAATTTAATATATTTCAAAATCCATGTAAAACCTATTCCAACATACTTTCAAAAGAAAGTAGAGAAGTTGCAGCCAAAGTTCAAACGTTAAACTTGTATGGCAAGCAGAAGTACATGTTTGATGTTTGAACTCCAAGTAAAACAGGTTGCACCACATGTTTATGTCACACACTGACTTATGGGATATTGTTGAAAAATGGCGGAAATATTTAACAACAATGAATGTTACTAGCAAAGGTAAATAAACAAATTAAACTACTTTAAAGAATTTGTAGGATGTTTAATAACACTAAATAATTATTTTTAATTAGCATTGTGTCTCCTACCGTAAGATAGGACTACCTCATACTTTTGTTGAGAGAAGTAGTGGCTTATGTAAATCTGAAAGCAGCTTGGAAAACTATTTTTAGAAAATTTATAAACATATTACACTGTTGATGTTAGAAGATGCTGTGAAAGAACAAACCTACTCCTACAGAATTATAAGCTATTATGAACATAAATATATGTAAATTCTATAGGCACTTTACATCATTTGCAAAAAAATTGAATAATTAAATAATTTCTGGATTAAAATCATCTATTTCTTTACAATATTATTCATAAATGCTTGAATAATCATTATTTTAATAAAATATGTCATAATTTTAACCCCAAACACAAAAAAATTAAGAAGTTTAAATCGAACTTCTACTCACCATGCTAGACATAGCAAATGCTATTCTAGAATTGCCAGATGGCAGTGCTTGACGTTCGACATTCACGTTTTTGCGATGAAAATGTCTGCTGCAACCTATCTAGTAAATCTGAAAGAATAGACCACAAATAATTACTTCTAACTTTTTGCTACATTTTCTACTTATAATCAACAAAAATATATTATTATATCTTTCTTAGAGAATTTTTAGATATAATTTTACCATTGTGAGCCTACATTGATACAATTATTAAAAAAAAATTAAAAGATATAAAAAATGAGTTGGTAGAATTTGTTACAAAATTACTTTTATACAAAATCTTATTTGATATACTTGTGCTAAAATGGTTTTTATTTTCTGATTCATTAATATCTTCTTTATTATGATTCTATCAGAAACTAGTTATTTACTTTTATATTCAGAATTTTCATCTGATAAAATGCTTTTTTTAAAACTCTCTCAAACATTCAAGACTTTCTGAAATATAAGTTTTTATATTTCAAAATATCTAGAATATTCTTAAAATTTGGTTTCTATCAATCTCTACTTCTCAGAACAAAAAAAACTGTGGATTTCATCTTTATCTAAGACATTAGATGCTGCTGATCAAATTGATCTGTTTGGTGATTTTAGATAAATTGCTATCCAAAAATTTCACAGTATCAAAGAAATAGAAAAAAAAATTTAAATTTTGGTTTTAACTTTTATTATATACTTATATAATAAAATTAAATATTATTATATAAAAAGCCAAAAGATATCACATTTGTAAGACCAGAATGTAAAAAACTACAGCAAATTGAAAAAAACTGGTATAGCAGTTGCAGTGTTAATTAAATTAACAGGAATGAACTGCTTATTTATTATATGAATGTATTATTTCAATATGGACAAGTGAATTTGAAATTCATTATTTATTTTTGTTTTCTCATTGTATAGGTTATCTTGAGTGAAATAAAATTTAATTTAGGAATAGAAAATGGAACAGAAAGTTGTGCAGTTACTTTTAGTAAAGTAAGTTATAAATAATTCTGATTATCCTGAACATTTGAGATTAATTTTAGTATTGAATATATTTATATAATAATAATAAATTTTTTATATGTTTAATAAATAATAAACAGGCAGTTCTAAAACATATTACTTTTCTACAGCTAAATATTTTAAATAATAATACATTTTTATATAATTCTATCATTTGTTGTTTCCTAACTCTTGATAAGACTATCTTTAAAATTTTTTTACATTTTTATCAAAGATCATTTATTGCAAGTAAACAAACTCTCTTCCTAAATTAACTCTCTCTCTCTCTGCTTAACTTGACTGATTATAAAATAAAATCAACTAAATATATGTTTATATAATATACACAATATGTCCCAAATGACAATATTAGTAGTGGATACCTATTGTACATTTCTTATATTTTGCATTTTATGAATTTTACCTTAATGAATATTTTTGTCATATTTGAAATTTTTGAATACTAAATCAACAATGAAACAATATTTATTGTTATGGTGATGTTAAAATATATTCTATTTGGTTTATTTATTTGTGCCTAATGCCATGTCAGACAAAGGTCAAGACATAGCTACAGAAAAAGTTTTGTTCATGTGCTGTTTGTGTATGTCTCTATGTTTAAGAATTTCTTGACAATGTGACATGCATTTAATATGGCAGTCTCCGTAGTGTAATAGCCCTAATGTTCTCAGACTTTTGTGTATGTGGTATGATGCCTAAGCAAAGAAGGACTACTAGCATAATAAGTATGTTATAATAAATACTGTGTTATCCATTCTTCACAGATACACTTTATTTTATGGGTGAGCTCTGAGTTATTTATTTTTTTCAGTGTATCTATGTATATGTTGTGGGTGTTTAGTAAAGCTATGTTTATGTTGTACATGGTTTTGTTTTGTTTGTCAATGAATGTGATGTCTGGTCTGCTGTAATGAATAGTTTTGTTCATAGTTATGGCACAGTCATAGTATGTTTTGTGTGTGTTATTTTTTATGACTGTCTGAGGTGTGTGTATTTGTGTTTGTATGCAAACTTTTGTTGTATTATGTTTGCTATTTCATTATGTTGATATAAGTAGTCTGTGTTTAAAACAGATAACCAAGTGTTATATAGTCTTGTGCATGATATGACGTTTTTACAAGTGTTGTCTGTATTATATCTTTTAAGATTTGCTTTCTATAGTTTTTTGTATTTATGATTTGTCCATGAGTGACAATCATGAACCCTTTCATCTCTCCAAAGAGATCCATGAATCAGCCAGCGGTTTGATACAATTCTTTCAATGTTATCCTGGCTGAGATTATCATCATTATGAACTCATATCTCTTTACCCAAACTTATATCTTTAAAGCTAATAAATATTCAGTTAATTCTTCTATACATATAATATAATAATTTCAGAGAACTAGTTAAAAACTGACTGTCAAGTTTATTTTGTAACTCATTGGTTTTTCTATTGCTATAAATATAAAATGAATTTTAATGATTAAAATAATTATACTTTTAAAATATTTCTCCTTATTTATCCACAATGGCATAATTTTCTACTATTTTGCTAACAGAATTGAAACTGAAGATAATGTCATTACCATTTTACTCTATTTGCTTCTTTTTTAAATTGTTTGTATGAATCTATTCTATATTAAATTAAGTGAATAAATATTCATTTAAAATTTAAAATACTAATAAATAATTTTCAAGTTTAGAAGATGGCAGTAAAATAAATTTAAGAGCTAAGCAATCAGCTCTCCAATCCGTTTCACATTAGATATTATCAATATTTAAATTATTTTCTGTTTACTTTTTTTGAGTTTATTTTAGCATTTATTATTTTTAATACTTATTCTATAATTATAATTACATCTACAATGAATGAATTGTCATAAATTCCTGATTATTCAAGAAATATCAATTTACACATATCAGGAAGAAGAGAGAAAAAAAGTTTCTGATGAAGATACCTATAAAAACTTGTGGAACAAAGGAGAAGAAACATTAAAAGCTTTACATTCTACAACACAAATTACAAAGGATGTTTTAACAGCCTTTGGAAGCAAAAAATTTTGGACAGATGTAATAAGGTAAATACTATGAATTTTGAACATGTACAGTAACGTGTACAATTCTCATACATGTACATGGAAAAGTATAATAATAAATAAATAAATAAATAAATTTATTTATTTATTATTATTATATTTTTCCATTGTTTGATGGATTATGGAATATTCACCAATTATTATTCTCATATATGTATCTTGAGATTGACAATACTTAGAATATACAATATAAAAATTTTTCATCTATTAAAACCTTTTTGAATTTAATAAATATGGATTTGAAGCATGCTTATGCTTTTGTTATATTTTAATCCTTTCTTTTCTCTCATTAATTATAAACATATACATAATATAATTATATTGTATTATTTAATATAGCTGGATTCCATCATTGGGTACATCTTCTGATGATTATTCACAAGAAAATATATCTAATAACAATAATTTAATGAAACAAGGAGTTGATGCTTTTTATATATCTGATTTTCAAAACATTCATATTAATAAGGTTAGTAAAATGTATTTTTATTTATAAATAAATGTAGATACCATGTGTTTATTTCACATTTTAGCTAATACTTTAATTACATTTATGCTATTTTAAATACTTTATAAATTTATAAGTTCTATTTTTATTATAATTAATTAAAATATGTTAAAAGTTTAATATAAAAAAATAAACAAAAAAATTAAATATGTAAACAGATCTTTACAAAATAAATAGATTTATCTGAGAAAAAATATATGATTGAGGAAAGAATAAAATTCAGTTTCAACAAATATATTATTTAAATTTTTTCAAAATATGCATGTTAAGCTATTATTTAAGATTATTTTTTTATTTTGCTATTTGTTAAATATCTTATTATTATACTGTACTAAAATGAAAAATCTGATGTATTATTAAATAAAATCAGGAGTTACATCAGTGACTCCCTACCAAGTAAAATAGTCACCAACTGACTATATATATACAGGAATCAGAGTTTCTTATTTTCAGGATCAATTTCTCCATCCTCAAACACCTGATGTAATTATGAATCTCTTGTTTGAGAGAAAATTGTTTTCTTAGGTAGTGTGCAAAATTTCAAGATTTTCTATAAAGCTGTTGCCAAAATTTAAGCAATTGAAAAGTGCAAAAAATAATCAAAAAAGCTGTAGTTTCTTTTCCTCCTCATCCTCCTTTTTATTCATCCGGCACTGCAGACACTTGTGAAAAAACTACTGGGTCTAGAAAGTTCAAATTTTAAACTTAAGTCTTTCTCATTATTAGTGAGGTGTTCATGAAACTTTCTGGTTGATGATCAAAGTTCACAGAGGTCTCTCATAAAGCTAATTCAATTTTACTGCTTAATTTTATGCTTATAAAGATAAAATTGCATGGAAACAAATGAGTTTTATTCAAAATGTTACTCATGATTACAAAAGCTGAAATTTATGCCAATTAAAACTTTTTATAGCAATTTTTCTAAGTGGCACAGCATATTGAAAGCATCAATTGGTGGCATGTTGGTTGGCAACATGTTCACTCTGCGGTCAGTGCTCAGTGACCGATCTTATGTCTTGAGATGATAATACAATTATTAAAAAAAAAAACAATTGATATCCAAACAAAAACATCTGAGGTGTAAAAAATTTTGCAAAGTAAAAACTTATGACAATTTAGACAAAATTTTTCTTAGGAGTTTCTCTTTGGTAAAGATGTGCTTGGATGTGGTACCCACAAGATTTTTTATCAGTATTTACCTTAAATTTTGCCTTTAGGCATCAAGTTTATCTTTTTCAAAGAAAAACTCTTAATGACCATTGTCTAAATTGTCATAAGGTTTTACTTGGTAAAATTTTTTTTACATATGATGTTTTTGTTTGGATTAACTACATTACATTAAATAAAACATTTATTAAAAAAATCTATAATGCAGTATTTTTAGCAGCATTAATCAATCAATCAACAATCAATTTTTTCATTTGAATGAAAAAATGACATCTAATAAATTCTTCAATATATATTTTTATATCATTAAATACTATTAATAAAAATATATATTGTACATTTATTAAAAATTAAAATACATTTACTGAAATAGTTAGTTTTACTTTTGATATAGTTTGATCCTGATTATACAAGATATGCTAGACAAGATCTTCCACAGAAAGTTACCATAGCAAAAAATGTGTTGAGAGCAATATTATTAAAAGATACTTTAGAAGAACCAGAGATTCCACATTTAAATTCAGAAGGTAAAATATAATAATAATAATGTTTAAAATAATTTTATTTAAAATAACAACATTAGTATTATACTAACTAGTATACTGTATTAACGCACTTTTAAGTCCAGCAAGATTAAGTTTATTTAAAGCAAATGTTTTCAGCCATTTTTAATGGTTATCTTTAGGTTACAATATAACAACAAAATTCTTCACTGAATGGAACAAAACTATAGAATATAAGTTCCAGATTCAAGCTATATTTAAATCTTTAGAAGATTACAAAATAAATTATGCTTTTGGAAAACGTAACATTGTTATAAACATGTTAATGATCATATCCCCAAAATTGCCTGACAGACATTGGCTTACCAAAAATTAACATATCCAAAAGAAGAGATAAAATACAACCATAGAATTAAAGAATAATAAAATGAAATTATTTATTTATTTATTATTTATAGAAATTATTTATTGTAACCCCTTCATTATATTTTATAACAATTTCCAAGCTAACAAGAGAGTTCCTATTTCTTTATGATTTGATTCTTTATGATTCTTATTGATTTGTCTTTAAGAGACAACTTAGAAATCTTCATTTCTTCTAATGGTCTCAGGAAGCATACATTATGTGTTGGTCTGATGAGCTTAGCCCAGGCATGGTCAACATACAGCCCACAATCAATCTTTCATTATTAGTTAATCAAGTCTGAATAGCTCAATGAAAAATTCTGATGCCTAAAAGAAAAGGTCAACAACTCACCTGTGCATTTAGAGTTAACCCTCCATTACAAATCTCGTAAGTACAACATAGAATATTGATAAAGCATGATAATGTGAAAAATGTATCTGTAATCTCTATCTACAATTTAGTCTCTACGGGGTGACATCACAATGAGATCTCACACCACATCAAAATCTTCCTAGGGCAGCCTCTGGTTCGGCCCGTGGAAAAAGTTTTTTTCCAATTCGGCCTGGGGGCAAAAACTGTTGACCACCCCTGGCTTAACCTCTTTCATATTTACTTCTGACTGTTTTAAAGCATAAGCAACTAATGCTGTGACAGACTGTTACTTCCTTAATATATAGATTCATGCTTCTTGAGTCTAGTATAGTTACAGTGACCATATTTTTTGGGGGAAAATAAAGGACATATCGAAGAAAATCAAAAAATACCTTATAAAATTCATAAGTTTATAACATTTATTACGAAAATAGTAGTATACAACAATGCATACATTAAAATTTTAAACAATCTGAATTATTACACATACACACATTGTAAAAATTTAAATATTAATTTTGATGCTTTTCAGTAGAATTAATTTTTTTTATAGCGCCGTTTCACGCTTCAAAGTCATAAAATTCCATACAGTTCATTTGAAAGTTGTATTTGACAGAAATACGTGCTTCTAATGTGCTTACTTTTAAATGGGTTTTTTCATTCGTCCGCATATTATTCAGCAATGAAAATATTCGTTCAACGGGGGCATTAGATCCAGGAAGACAAAAAAAAATTCTACGATTTTACAAACGTTTTTAAAAACAATTTCTTCTGCTGTAAAATGTTCAAAAATTTCAATCCATCTTTGATGGCAGGGTTGGTTATTCTGTCACCATTCGTCGATCTTTTCGTTTGTGACATATTTTTTTACACATGAAACCATCAAATAATTCACCGTCGAGTATATTTACGGACCAATGATTCGAAATAAAGATATAGTTTTCCTCTACCTTCGCCCACAAAGGGATTTCACATAATGTGACCCATTTAACACCTCTATTTCAATAAAAAACATGTCCCAATCATTTAGATAATCTATGCACGTTTGATAAAATGTGTACACAACATCATTGAATTTTTTGGCTTGTATATTTTCTGATTTTTCTAATGCTAAGACCACTTTTCTAATAACAATAGGAAGAAACCTCTCATTTTTTCTTTCAATTAACTTTAGCTTTAATTAACAAGTGTATCATCCACCAACTAGAGAGTTAAAAAAAACTATCGCAAAAATTCCCATAAGAGTGTCATCCCCTGGTACTGTCAGTGGGCCGTTTGGTTGGCGGACACACTGCACTACTGCGCTCTATGTAGCAATGCAACACTGATCGTGATGGCGTACACAAAACTAACTTGTTCAATATATTATTAAAATTTTTTTTTTAAAACTTTGCGTCAACTTTACAAAATAAAGGACAAAATGCCTATTTTAGGAAATAAATAAAGTTAAAGGACAGAGCAGTGAAATAAAGGACTGTCCTCTTAAATAAAGGACATATGGTCACTGTAAGTATAGTGGCTGCAATTTACTCTTGAATCTATGATCTAAAACAGGTATATGGTGTACTTCCAATACTTACAGGGAGCATTGTGTTCTGCATTTTTTTGTCATTTCTGGGGAGTTTGACATTTTTCAAAAATGCAATTTTTTGTATAACATTCTAAAGGTTTAAATATAGTTTGAATTTAAACTTATGTTCTATGGTTTTGTTCCATTCAGTTAAGAATTTTGTTGTTCTATTATAGCCTGAAGATGGTCATTAAAAACGACAAAAACATTTGCTTTAAATAAAGTTAATCTTGCTGGACTTAAAGGTTTAATGAATATATGTTAATAACATTTCTTTAAATCTTTAAATTTTTTTACTTATTTTCAGTGTTAATTGACCTTGCTCAAATGATGATTTCTGAAGACTTATATTTCAGCTTTTCTCTATTATTGGCACTTGTAAAGGTATTATTTTAATTTTCAATCTGTTAATTACTTATTTTTAAATATTAAGCAAAAATTATTTTTTAAAAATAGTGAATTCTAAATATAAAGATAAGTAATTATCATTTAACCATTAACAATAATAAAATCTGTACTTCTGATTGTACTCACAATAACTGTCAATGCTTAGGATTATTAATATTGACTTGTTAATAGCTTATTGCTAATTTTTAAATAATTGATTATTTGAAAATAATAAGTAGTAATTTTGTTTTTTTAGACATAAAATTTTTTTATTTTTGCATTTTTATTAAATATGCTTTGATTTTAAAAAACTATATAGGAAGAAGAGTCAGAAAGATTTTTTAGCAAATTACCCAATACTGCAGTAGTACTACAGACTGCTTTATATTATTATGCTCTCAGATTGTATGTCCTCCTTTACCCTAAGGATATATTGATTAATGTATATTTTTGTGATCCAACTGAAATTATTAATCAAGTATGCTTAGAATTTTAATTTATCAAATTTTTTTATTTAATTTATAAATTTTGTTCTGATTTAAATCATAATTTTAGGTGATTGCATACATTACTAAGAGAAAAGATCTGATGCCAGAAGCCACAAAACTCTCAAAATTAATTCAGAAATATGATAATATGCTTTTTGATTTTATTCAAGCTGAAGTACTGCATGGATTAGGAGGAGGAGTTGATATTACAAGATTTACAACCGATAACATTTATAAGAAAGAAACCATTTTAGGATTAGCAATGTATTGTATTTTCAGTTTTTAATTATTTATAAATAGTTATGTGATATTTTAGATATTAATCAGGGAATTATTAATGTTTTAGAAGAATTATAAATATTTAGTTAGACTTTTATTCAAATATATATTACAATATTTTCACTGAATAAGTAATTTAATAAAATGTTTTAAATAAGTAGCAACAACAAAAATCAATTTGTGGAAATAATGCTGTTTTATGTAGATAAAAATGATAATTAAGAAAATGCTGACTGTATGAAATAAGTTATATGCATTAATATAATGGACAGAACAATTTAGAATAAGAATGAAAGAGAGAAAACTTTAAAAATAAGATAGCATTTAAAAGAAATTTGTTGTAATTGAAAGAATTATAAAATTATAGTTTTGAATAAGTGTGCCAAGTATCCTAATCAAAATTTTAATTTTTAATAAAAGATTGGATTATAAACTTAGAAGAATATTTTGTAAGCTTCTTAAATAAATAATTTCAATAAATTTTGTAGAAATTTAAGGATATAAAATGACCATTGTAGAAGGATATAAAGTGACCATTTCATATATTTTACTACTAATAATTATATATTGATATGTTTTTATACTCATAAATTTGTCTCCTAGTTGCAGGGTAAAATTTTTGATATTGTTATATGTCAGATATATGTTATTTTCATATTAGCATTTCCAATACCAATCAAGCATATATTTTTGCAATACTAATAAGCGTATATATATAATCATAGTATGTTTAGGGTGAGTGGAAAGTAACTAGGCAATTGCAATAATTTTTGTAATAATAATGCAATCATAGTAAAATATAGTTGTACATATACATCAATTAATTGAAATTTATAATTCCCACATCAATCAAAGGGCCTTGGTTCATGTAGAGGGTAGTATGACAGAGGAAATCCAAATATTGAGGGGAGTAAGACAAGACTGCATTCTCTCACCATTGCTCTTCAACTTATACTCAGAGGACATAATCCACGAGGCCCTTGAAGATTACAACAATGGAGTAATAGTCAATGGTGTTCCAATTAACAATCTAAGATATGCAGATGATACTGTATTATTAGCCTCCAGTTTAGATGAACTGCAAGTGTTAATGAATATGATTGCGTCCAAGAGTCTTGGCTATGGATTGCAATTGAATATCAAAAAAACAAAGTGGATAGTGATAAGCAAAAACCAGTACAACCAAAGCCAAGGCACACTTGTAATTGGAATGCTGTTATCAATAAAGTGACAAGTTACAAATATCTGGGCTGTTGCATTACCAAAAATTGGGACAATGCAAAAGAAATTAAATGCAGAATTGAGCAAGCAAGATGCGCTTTCATAAAATTACAGAGGGTCTTTACCACAAGAGATATGCAAATACAGCTTTGATTGTGACTGCTTAGATGCTATGTTTTTAGTGTTCTATTGTATGGTGTGGAGACTTGGACACTAATGGAAACAATGTGTAGTAAGCTTGAGGCTTTCGAAATGTGGACATACAGGAGAATGCCAAGAAAACCAACAAAGAAATATTAAGACTAGTGAACAAGCAAACAGAAATAATAGACACTATCAAGAAGAGGAAACTGGAATATTTCGGCCACATTATGAGAAATGAAAAATATCATCTCTTACAAATAATAATTCAAGGTAAAGTTGAAGGTAAACGTGGCCCAGGCAGAAGAAGAACATTCTGGCTCAAAAATTTATGACATTGGTTTGGGCTTAGTATTGGATCACTATTCAAAGCAGCTGACGACAAAGTCATAATTATGCAACTGGTTGCCAACGTTCTTGGAGGACAAGGCACAAAAAGAAGAAGACATCAATGGTATGCACAGTGATCAAGAGAGGCTGTATGTACAGTGGCAGAAAAGATGGCTGACAACTTGTCTGTTCAGGAGCAAGCATAGATTGGCCCACACTATAAGATGTGGAAATCACTGGTTGCTATGCAATGATGTTGGCATATGGTAAGGCATAATATCATGCTACAATCCCACCAGAAACAATCAAGAATTGTCATTCAAAGCTAATGACCACAGGTTTGTTTGAAGACACACAGAGAAGTTAGTAGATGGGTGATGGTAACTACATTGAATTTTAAAGTATGCATCTGTATTTCCATTTAATACAGTGGTTCCCAATGGGATCAGTACTGCCCACTGGTGGGTGTTGAGGAGATATAAGAGGATTTTTTTCGTCCAAGGTAAATATAGAGGCGTTGAGGACCAATTGCCGCCCCCTGGGCAATACTCACAAGAATGCGCTGAAAAGTTTGATCAATGCTAAAAATCATCGAATGCATGTTTCAACAAATAGTTCTAAATGTCTTTTAAGCAAGATCAGTCCATATTAAAAGTAGATATTGGTACATTATAACTTGTTCCTAATACCTTTTTGACTAGTACATGAACAAGTTGCAGCATGTGTGTGTATGTTCCAGCTCGATCAACAAAGCTTATATTTACAAGTTTTGATGGGTTCATTAAGCAATAATATAATACAGAGACGAATCGTCAAAATGTCTAAGAGTGTGAAGACTGACTAATTTTTTGAAGACTAACGAGTTTTCTTTACAGTTTAATGAATCTACTTTACCAAACAATGAGTCTTTACTTCTTGCATACATTCATTTCATAAAACATGAAAAATTTGTCAATAACTATTATTTGCAAAAAAAATTTAGAAACAGAGACTAAACGATATTTGACATATTGGAACACTATTTTAAAGAAAAAGGTATTTCTCTGGATAATACAGTAGAGCCTCGAAAACTCGGCCTAATGTGGACCAAAGGGTGGCTGAGTTTGTGAAAATGCCGGGTTATCGGGAATGGGGTTAAAAAAGGATAAGTATGCGTGTTTCCTCAGAAAATAGTGTACTGTACTTGTATGTATTGTTTGCTTGAGAATACAACAGAGAATAAACTGCCCAAATACCCTTAAACAAAGGAAAAGTACGTCCTTTATGAAGGCATAGAGCCTTTACTATGTGAAAATGAAATTTAATGAATACACTGTGTATAGTAATTTACCTGATAAGACAGACCTCAGAAAAATACTTTATGAGAGCTTTTATACTTTCATAAAGCTGTCTATAATGAAAATTAATTAACTAAGGATTTTTTTTGCCCTGCCAGAGTGTGGCCGAGTTATCCGGAGTGCCAGGTTATCGAGAGCCAAGTTTTCGAGGTTCTACTGTATCATGTCCATTGCTACTGATGATTCTCCAGCAATGGTTGGATGATGGCACAAGTTGATTTCATATTTGAAAAAGGCACTACCAAATGTAGTAGCTGTGCATTGTGTAATTCACAGACAACATTTGGTTGCAAAAAACCTTAGTGATTGCCTTCATTGCTCACTACAGTATGTAATTACAACAGTTAACAAGATCAGAAGCAATGCTCTCATTGAAGGATTGTTTTGAAAACTTTGTGATGAAAATAACAAAGATTTCAATTGTTTACTATTGCACACACAAGTTCGTTGGCTATCAAAGGCTACCTGTCTAAAAAGATTTTATGACCTCTTTGACTCAATTATAATGTTTTTTGAAAACAAAGATGATTCATTAAAAGAGAATTTATTGAAATTTAAGAACGATTTAGCTTATTTAACTGATTTATATAATACATTTAATGAAATGAATCTACAACTGCAAGGAGATAATTTAAATTTGATCAAAGCAAAGGCAACTATTTCTGCATTTGTGTCAAAACTTGCCTTGTACAAACAAAATTTGGGTCAAAGACAATTCTATCAGTTTCTGAATCTTTCCTCTGTGGAAACAAATGATGATGGCATTTTGGCATTTTGCCAGCATTTGGAAGCACTTAAAGAAGATTTTACAAATAGATTTCAGGATGTCCTTAACATGACCATTCCAGATTTGATTCAAGAACATTTCTCAAACCTACAAACAGCAGAATTATCATTGCAGGAGGAGTTGATAGAATTGTCAACAAATGAAGAGTTAAAATTGAAACTAAAAAATGGATATCAAGAATTTTGGCTTCAAAAGCAAATTCCAGTATTTTATCCAGCTTTATGGGCTGCATCAAAGAAGTTTTTCATTGCATTTCCATCATCATATTTAGTCAAAAGAGGATTTAGCATAGTCAGCAATTTACTAATAAAGAAAAGAAACAGATCGTCAATAGTAAAATGTGGCAATTTAAGATTGCTGATGACAAATATGGCACCAAATATTGAAAAACTAGTGTCATTACTCTCAAGCTCAGCCCTCTCACAATAATAATATATTAATTTTTTTAATAATATATGTTTGATTTGTTAATGAAACTTTGAGCAATACACCAATATTGTTAATATTTTTTCATAAAGTAATTTTAAAAATCTGTATTTGTTTTTCAATATATAATATAGTATATTTCATCTAAGATGGGTGCCATCAAATCGCTGTTTGAAAAAGTGTACTATGACCTGAAAAAGTTGGAAAACTATGAAACTATTGATTTCAAGAATGGGAATGGTGTGTTTTTTTTTTCTTTCTGAAAAGGGGGCAGTAGGCCAAAAAAGGTTGGGAACCTATGATTCAGTAAGATATATGTTAAATAATTTTAATCATCATTGCATTAGATTTATAGAAATTATAATAATTTCTCAATGCCTAGTTACTTTCTACCCATCTTTTATTATATATTTTATTTTTTTAAATAGGTATATTTGCAAAAGATCTTTATTTGGACTGACACTTCAATTCTGTTATAGTTTTTGTTAAATGAAAATTTTTAAAGTAACTTCATAAAGAAAAATTTAAAATAATTAAATAATTTTTTTAGGACTGCTGATGATTCTGTACTGAATGTGTCAATTTCTCTTGCTCGTCACTATAATATTCCAATCTGGGATGTATATATGGCAAACATAGAATTTATGTTTCTTGAAGAAAGGTACATTATTGAATTAATTATTTAAAAATTTTTCATTTTCTTATATTTGTCTCATACTAATAATCTACTTATACTTGCTTTCAAATAGTTTATCTGTTGATGATATCAAAGTCAAAATAGAGCATTTTGATATGATGGAGGAATTATTATTGAAACCAATACTGTTTAAAGAGAAACTTCAATCAAACATTTATCCTAGTATTAATGGAAAAGATTTTACAATGTTAATTTTTTATTATACATTATTGGAAAAGTGTGGAAATGATAAAGATTTTACAGGAATCAAGCCAGACATTCATTTAGAGATGTTAGAAATATTAGAAGAAATAAATCCAGGTATGTAATAATTTTGAACATATTAATGTTTTGGAACTAATATAATATATGTATGTATTGTAATATATAGCAGAGTCCTGTACTATACAACACAGGGAATATGTTTCACATTACAGAAAATTATGTTATTCAGATTTGCATTATCAGATGATTTTTTGCAATTTTAAACTTAGGACTAGAAGTTGAAAAAGAAAATGTACACATATGGATGACAAAATTAAAATTTTGTATGAGTACTAGTCATTTTTTTCATTGGGTTATATGAATTTGCATTATATGGGAGCATGTTATACAGGAGTTTACTGTTTTACAATATTACCATACACTATTAATGAAAAATCAAACAGTATAATGTAATATTTAAATATTCATATAATTATATAATTTTATAACTATAATTTAATCGTAAAAACTTTTAGAAATTTTAATTAATTTAACTAATTATTGAAACCACGAATAATATTATTCTTAATAAATAAAATAATCATTCAAATTAATGTTTTTGAAATGTAATATATAAAAATTTATTTTTAATATTGAAAATATGTTATATAGTTATGTCTTATAAATTTTAATTTGGTAATTCATTTAATTTCTTGAAGCTAATTAGAGAGGTTATTTTAAAAAGCATTTTAAAATAAATTAGAAATGTTTAATTATGCATTATTTGTATTGTAAAATATCTTTTGAATTAAAAATATTTGCTTTAATTATTTATTTGTTATTAATGCTAAATAAAATATAATATCTATAGTAAGAAATAAATGCATTTTTATTATTTTTCATTCAAGAATAATCAGCTTATTTACCAGTACCAAAAGAATAAATGCGTTTTATCATGTTTACTAACTATTATCAGGTTACAAACTAATCAGACAGTTTAAACTAGAAGGCAATTTAAACAATTCCGGTTTTAAAATACATTATGTAATTTATTTTATTTTAAAATTAGTTAGAGAAATAAATGTTCATTCTTTTAATAAGTTCATCACTGGTAAATAAATTGATTATTCCTGAATATTTATAATTACCAGTTTATTACTTATTGTTATTTTTTTATGTCTATAAACAACTTATATATAAAAATATTTAAATTATTATAGATTTAGATTATAAAATGCTTATCAAACCAAATAGAGATGTACTTTCCATTCTCTATCCTGTTCTTAATGAAAATAATATTGAAATATTTACCAAACTAGCAACAAATTTAATTGACCAGGTGAATTATTTTTTACACTTTCTTAATGAATTTAAATATGTCTTATAAAATTGATTCTTAAATATAATTGTTGTTTATTTTAATTTACTATAGAATGGAGAAATGGTCAAACCTAGTTCTGTTTTATGTATCTGGACACAAAAGTATTTTTTTGAAGGTGATTCAGACAAGAATTTACAACCAAAAACATTTGTGAGTTTGTTGTAATAAACATTTTTTAAAAAAATTTATTTAATTAAATTTAGAATATAATTTTTGAACAGAAATATCAAAATCATGCAACTGTATAATAAAATTTTAATTTATTAACTTAATTATTTTGTTAAAATTTTATTTTTTTATATCATTCAAGAAAATTTTACTTTGAAAACATGATTGAAAATTCTGTTTTGGGGTACAGTTGCTCAATCCAAGTATAAGTACATAAATACTCTGTTATTTCTTTTGTATAGAGAAAGTTCAATGCAAGAACTTAATACAAAATAAATTGCCAAAAAATTAAAAACTTTTTAAGAATGAATTTCTTATTTTCAGGATGAATTATTCAGGAATGAATAGAACTGTAAATAGTTGAATATAAATATGTTTTTCATAATTACACAATGTCAAGTTGCAAAATATATCAATATATATCAAATTAATTTATTTTACTTTTAATTTATATATTTATATTATGCTAATGTTATATTCTTATGAAATGTTTGTTACATTCTTATTTGAATTTAATTATATATGTACGTGTTATGTTCTCAGTGACTAGAGGTGTATTCTGAGTTTTTGTAAATATTTTTTGGGCAAAAATATTTACAAAAAATATAAATAATTTATTTTATCTAAAACTGTAACTGACATACATACGCAGATATGTATTATTATAATTACAGTTTAAAATTTTAATGAACTGTATAACAATAATGAAATTTTTTTACATTTTATTTATTTTTTGTAATATGAAATAATTATATGAATAATTGTTATTTAATGAGCATTTTAGAAAATCATACTAGAAAAATATTTTTGTAGCTTATCAAAAAGTTGTTTATATACTATATGATGATAAACAGATTTATGTAAAATGATGATAAGATTGTAATGTAAATTAACTATTTAATTGCATCATATCATCATTACAGTACTAAATTTCTATCAATATTATAATAAACTGTTGACTGTTTTAGATTTCTGTAGTTTCTCTGATCAGTTTATAAATTTGAATTTCACAAATATATTTAATACTACTTTAAAAATGATAATACTTTTTTTATAGATGATTTAAAATCTAATATATGTTAGTTTTGAAAATATTTCAGAAGAATAACTTGCTCCTGTTGATCCTAGCTTAAATGCTTACTAGTTTTATGTATGCAATCATTAACACTTTCATAAAGCTATATGAGCTATTTTCTGCAGCAATCCAGATTTTTTAAAAAGAAATTCTATAGTATTATTTTTCTATTATTAATACTTATTAATGGGATAATGTTTGATTTTTTTTAATGATTAATATAAATATAATTAATTAGGAAGCAATGTTGATTTTATTTAAGTGTATTTTTGTAATTGTTTTGTAATAAATTTATATAGAATAATATAAATGGAATTTCTGTATAGCAAATAATTAAACCACATCTGGCATAATAATAATAATATTATTTTTTGAAATTGTTGTTGTTACTATTATTATGCTATTTGATGAAAATAGTTTATTTTAATTTTTTACATTCAAGTGTGATTAGTTATGAATTGATAAAAATTGATTTTGGTTTTTTAAAATGAGATAAATTTATTTAGTCTATAAAAAGGTGATATCTTCTTTATGTTGAACTATTGCTGATATATTATTAGCTGTTATGAAAATTTTACAGTTAAATGTCTTTGTTTATAAAATATTTTTACAATGTAAATTCTTTCTAACATGGCCATGAGATTTGAATTTACTTTATTAAGAGAATTGAATCTCTTAATAAAGGATTATTAAAAGATTTGAAGTAAATTCAAATCTCATTTAAATGAAAATCTGTTGTTAAAAAATATTTTTATTATGATAATTTTGTAAATAATCTAATTATTAAACCAACTGTTGTATAACTTGAGTTTATTCTTATAATTATGCTATTACTAACTGAACCAAATTATAGTATTTTGAAAAATTTTTTGACATACTAATTAATGTTTAAATGTGAAATTGTAGAATCACCCACTGTTCTGACATAATTAATTAGGACATTATTTTTAAATTCATTTTTTCTGCTTTTAAACGTTCTAGATAAATTGAAAAATCCAAGTATCATATGATTATACAAAATAGAAATAAAACTTTTAACTGCTGAGGAATTATATTATAAGAAAATAATGATTATTATGTAGAATTTTAATGACTAGAAATTTTCCTCTTGTATTTATATGGAAGTTCTGGTCTTTAATTTTATCTTCTAAATTTTTATTAATAAATAGTTTTTATTGTAAAATTATTTAAGCTGTATTGATAACCAAAAAATGTATAGATTTATTATTATGATATTTTATTATTACCATTTAATAAACTTGTATAAATTTAAAATAAATTGGTTTAGATAGTTATTATGTAAAATTACTTTAGATAAATTGTTATGTATACATTTAAAAGAAAATTTTTTTATAAATACCATGTTTTCTAGATTCTAATGTGCCATTGAATCTAATGTGCATCAATTTTAGAGATGTCAAAATCCAAAAAAATTAGCTTGCAAATATAATGTAAACAGTCACAGAAAGTTAATGCATTTAAACACTAATAAAAGAATTTTATTTTCATGTTTACAGGACTTCACAATGTCCATATTTTAAAATGTATTTGAATGTATTCATTTATGACTCCATTATCAATCTGTGAACCAATACAAAATCACAGTCAAAATTACCAGACAATCAACATTTTAATAGTGAGATTTCATATTAGTATGCAGAAGCATGAAGTTTACCAGAGATATAGTATCACACTGAAGTATGTATATACATATTCTTCAGCTTAGTGGATAACTGTCTGTTTAAATACAACTTTATAGAAGATTTGTCTGTTGAACATGATTTATTTGGCTTGCTTTAGTTCAAAAACCATCAAACTGTTTAAAAACCAAAGTAGTGATAGGGATGTGTACCATGTTTATACTGACATAATACACACAGATTGCCAAAGTGAAGAGTGAAGAGCAAACAATGCAACTAAGGTTGCATTAAATCAACATTGTACCTGATTCTAATCCACATCCTAATTTTTGAGACCAGAAAAGTTAGAGAAAGTGCACATTAGAATTGAGAAAACAGTACATTTAAAAGTTGATTCAGAAATCATTATGCTAATTTAAATATTAATTTTAATTTTAGTCTGATTGGATAAATCGTTACGAGGCATGTAGCAGATACTTCGAGCAGTTTTTTGCTTATGATTTTCTGGAGTTTGTTAACAAAATAACATTCAGTGTTTCAGCTTTTGAAAATGTAAGACTTAAATATTTTTCAGCTTTTGTTAGTTCTCTATTGTAAACATTTAAGGAATCCTAAAAAATACAAAAATAGATATCATTTAAATTTTATCTTGAAAAAAATCATTATATTTATTCTTTCTATAGAATTTTTAATAAATGAATGTAATTATTAAAAATTCTTAAAAATGTTTCAAAACTTTTAGCTCTCCACAAGATGTCGTATCAAGATTAATGAAAAATCATTAAAGTACTGTAAGAAACGGATTGATGAAATGGACCCAGATGATGAAAAGTAAATTTATGAATTTTATTTTCCCAATTATTTTTAAACTTTCAAAATATTATAAGTTACTAAATNTATTAAATAGATTCAGGTATTGCTAATAAACTGTATTATATTCCCATGGCCGATTTACATAATGCTTATATTTTGTTTTAAATTGCGTACAAAAGCGGCGAGAAAAGATTAAATCTGTTAAATGTAAAAATCATTATAAGAGAGTTCTAAAAACCTGCGTTCTATCACAAGTTCTACAGGTAAATTGATTAACACGTGCTTTATTGTTTCTTCAAAATAAACAGTCAAATTAATAAGAAAAAATTTCTAGACAAAGCAAAATGGTGCCATAAAAGTACGAAGACAAGTCAATATTTAGGGTCGCCATTTTTAAAATGTTTCGTTCAAGTCTGTAATAAAAGCTACGGATTTTCGTCTGAATTATCCCTACACACTTGGGTTTTATTAACATCATATCTAATTTATAATTCCAAAAAATATATGTTAAATGTTATTTACAAGGAAAATTATTATATATATTCAAAATGTCATCCTTTAACATATGTTAATTTTATGACATTAAAGAGATATCTTCATTTAAAACTACCACTTTTTATATAATTTACAAGAGTTTAAATTTTTAAATGCCGAAGAATGTGTAAATAATAAAAATAGTTTAAGGATTCGACCTATATAAAATTATAATTGCTCCCTATACTAAAATATAAAATAAGGTGAGATTATATTTGGATAAAAGATAACATGTGTTAATAAATATAGAATAAATGAGATAAGAAACTAAAAAGAGACTTCTTAAGCACTAAACCCGCTTCGTGTTAACGTCACCCTATGTGATATTAATTGAGATGGAAAAAATGAGGACAAAATTAACAAATAAATTGATAATAATTGAAAATTTATAGGTTTCTCCTTAAGCAAAACCCACAAATAAAAAATAAATAAAGGTGACAGATAACATTCATCACTATAAAATAATATCATTAATTCAGTTCACACTGCAAAATTGTCACTGAATCAAAACTGTAATTTTTCTAAATGTAAATATTTATAATTTAATTTCATTTAAACAGAGTAATTTATAAAAATTGAAGAGTTTCAGAGTATTTTACAAGTAGATTAATTTAAAGTTTAATTTCTAAATTTTTAAAATCGCACTTTAAAAATTTAATAGGTTTCTCGATTTACAAATTGTAATGTGATAAACTCCCTCCAAGTAAAGCCTCTAGGCTTGATCCAATTTATTCCCTTTGCTCTAATCTTGAATTTTATGACTGCAAAAAGAAAATTATAGTGAATTAATGAGTAAAATTGTTACCTTATTTACTCATTAATAGTTATTTTATTATATATAAGTTGTATGGATTCTGACTGCAATTGGCTTGCTCTACATGCTAAGGTATTCTTTTGGGAGAATCAGTCTCCGTCTAGAAAAAATCTAGAGATGTGACTAAATATGCAAGCCGAACATGAGAATTTGCCCTTTCCTTCTTTTATTATCTCACTTCCCAGTTTTTGCTCCCTCCCCTCATCCTTCTTAAGCTAAATATTTCATATACAGTCCTTACCTTTTATCATATAGATGAATTGTTATTTAAAATGTAGATGATTCCTGCTTCATAAATAAAATTTTAGGATAAAACTACTAAAATAATAACTGTACTACTGTTTTCAGAAATAAATGGAAAGAGATACATAATGAGATTCAAAATAATATTCAGCATCTACAGAATATAGAAGATGGTGCATTAGATTGTTTATTGAATTCTGAAAATCCTAGCCACAGGGAATATGTTCGTGAATTTGATCTTTCTCGATCTTCATCTTTGAAAGTATGAAATACATGGGATATATTTTAATTTTTGACAAGTATGATTAATTGAAATCAGTTAATTTTTTAGTTGCAGTCCATGTTACTACGTGCAGTTATTGAAAATCATCCTTTGACTTTTTTACAAACATTACTATCAGTGTGCCTTCCTCACATATCGTGGGAATTATTGGATATATATACTGAAGGTATTCACCTTATTACTGAACAGCTGAGGTGAGAATTTTTTATGTAGTTTTATATATGTATGTGTATGTGTTTATACATAAAAAAACTTTTCAGAAATCCAGAAGTTAGCCTTCATCCTAGTTTGGAAAATCTTCAACCTTTAAATGTTTTAGAAAACATATTGAAAAGTTTTGCAGAAAACAGGTAAATTTTTTTATTTCTAAAGCAGTTTATTAGGTGTGTGACTAAATTTCTGTTATATGCAGTGAAGAACTCATAGGAGATGAGATAGTCCTGGAATTATTAAGACCATTTTGTTCAGATACATCTGTTCCCGTACAGATACGATTGAAAGTACTTCAGTTATTAGAAAAGGTACATAAAAGATAAAATGTTCTTTTTGTTAAATTGGCCAAATATTTTATTAATAATATTTTTCTCTTTTTTTAGACTACAAATTTAGATATTGAAGATTTGGATTTGTTGCTGCTGTTCAGAACGCAAGCTATAGTTGCTACAGCATGGGAAGGTATAGAAGTGAGTAGAAAACTTGATTTTCATCTTCAAGTTATGACCCCACATTATATTATAATATTTCAAATGCTATCATCATTAATACTATAAATAAAATTGACCTCTTTAATGTTTTTAGGATACATTTGACTAAGCTTCAGATAGAACTTTCAAAGAAAACTAATTGAACATATTTAGAAGTTCAAATGTTAGTTATTTGTTGAATTTCAAACAAACAATTAAATCTTAGGTTTAAAAATGTACTAAGAATTTAATCATTTGTTCAGAATTTAAAATCACCTGTTCTACATTTGAACTTCAACAGATGTTTCAATGTCAGTTATGTTCATTTAGGTTTCTTTGAGAGTTGTGTATGATGATAGCCAGTGATGGAATTCAATTTAAAACAGTTACTAGTGCAGTGAAGCAGTTGTTAAGTATAAGAAACAATATTTATAAGTTTACACTGAGTCTTGTATTATTACATTTACTGTACACAAGGAGAGTTAAACCCAATTAATTTTTTCTATTTGAACAGAATGGAGTTAGCTGATTCCAATCAATAGTCTAACACAAGGGTTGCCAAACTTTTTTGATCGTTGACCCCCTACAAGTTTTCAAAACCTCACGTCGACCCCCACTAAAATGTTTATGTTACAAGCAAAACAAAGTACTTACTATTTTAATACATTTTTTTTTCATTTATTGTATATTTGTTAATAATTTTTGTAACTGACAATAAGTGAGATAGATAAGCTTGACCCTTAGCTCCCCCTTAACCTTAGCTTAAGCTTGATAATCAACCACTTTGGCGACCCCTGGTCTAACAGCTGGGTTATTTTAACATCCTTTCTGCATATAATATAATCTTCAAGTGGATTAGTGATATGAATCACAGAATTAGTTCTCTGCTAGAATTAACAACTGGAAGAATGAAGGCAAGGTAAACCAAAACCAAAGGCAATCTGTATGAACACAGTCTTAACCTCTGTTCTAGTTATTCTTCGTTATTTTAAATGGCATAAATTTTACCCAGTTAACTTTCATTGTTTAAACAATGAAAGTTAACTGTTGTTGTATTACAGTATTTTTTCACCCCAATGCCACCTGCATCCTGAAAAATTATACAAAATAATAATGCTATTAGCAAAAATAAATTAAAATACATAATAAAATATCTTATAAGAAATATTGTAAATGTGAGTACCTGAATGACAACAAATTAACATTATCTAACAATTGGTTAAAATATTTTATTATTTCTTTTGTCAGGGATATTTAAACTATGATTGAAGATATTTCCATATTGCCTCTTGATTGGCATCTTCTTTTGTAGTTTGTTTCACTTTATCTGAGGATCATCAGCCATGTGATTAATCCTTACTCCTCCTTAATGATACTGTTCAGTAATAGAAATCAATGTATTAATATTGAAATGCAAAGTTTTTCCCTAAATGTATTTATTGTCTTGCATTCAAGTGATAAGTTGCACAAACATCTGTTTGTGCAGCTTATCACTTGTACCCATGAATTGAGTGGAAAATTGGCAATCTTACACAAATGCAAACTTTTGTGATAAATTTCTTAAATAAATATTACAATTGCAACTTTAACAACTGGTTTGCTAAACTAGAAATATTTTAGGAAGCTGTGAAAATTAACTGAATTCCAACACTGATAATAGCATGTGGAATGTTATCAATGAAAAATTTGTGATAATTTCATGTTTATGTCATATTCAGATAAATGAAGATCAAATTTCTAATAATGAGAAAAGACAAGCCCTTTTTGATCATTTACTTAAAATATCAGAAAGGGCAGATCAGTTAAATACATTAGCTAATTTATTGAAATGCTGGCCTACTCTTCCTAATTCAAATTCCAAGTAAGTTTGGATCTGTTAATATAATTTATTTAATATAAATTTTAATAATGGATTGGATATTTTTACATCAATTGCATTACAACTTTGTATCTTAGACAACCAGAAATAAATACTTGGGCACAGTTAATCACCACTACTGCTAATAATTCTGATTCCATGGCTCCTGTCATTGCTGTTAATCTTTTAAAAGAAGCTATGACTGAAAATGAACTGAGTAGAGAGGTAAAAGCTTGAATTTTTAAATTTTGTAGTAAATTATGATTTTTTACTAATTACTAATCACTAATTTACCTTTAGTGCTGCCTTTCAGTTTATAAATTTATAGAACAGAGAGGAAATTTATTGCAAACTCTCAAAGCAAGTATCCTTACAAAAGTGGAAGAGATTCGAGACGCAGCAATGATCATTTTATCCCAACACTCACCTGTGAGTAATTTTTTTTAAGCACTATTGTTCCTTAATAAACCTAAAGTTTTAACTTAACATGTTTAATTTTAGATTACTAATGACGATTACGACAATGAATTGCTTTCACTCATCTTGAATAACCATCTAGTGACTAAAGTAGTAGGAACTGAACTGTATCAACCTTTAATAGAATTTCTTCTGGTGAATGAAGAAAATAAACCAAATTTAGTAAATGAAGTCATTGCAGATCTTAGAAAAGCAGGTTTAATGGCTGAAGCAGGTTCACTAATTTTGCTTGCTGAAGGAATTCACAATTCGTTGCATACTTTCAGGTCAGCTCTAGGTATATTTGACTGGTTTAGCAAAACAAAAAAATGAATGCTAAACATTGTGTCTAATCAGTTTGTTTATACAGTTGTAAAAATTTCAGGTATAAATTATAAAATGTCATTTTATAAACATTGAACAATTGTTTTATCTTTAACAGTTTACAGTGATATGAATACAAATTTTTATTGTAGTTCAAAAATATCAATAATAGAGAGGTTGTAGCCAACTTTTTCATCACAAAAACGTGTACGTCAGACGTTCAGCGCCACCTTCCTGTAAGCCTAGAAATTTGACAATGGCATTTGATACGTCAGTGGAATCATGCTTGACGTATCAAACGCTATTGTCAAACTTCTAGGCTTACAGGAAGGTGGCACTGAACGTCTGACAAACACATTTTCACGATGAAAATGTCGGCCGTAACCTCTCTAATAATTACAAAATTCATATAGTACTTTTGTAAGAACAAACATGAAAAACTGTTTACATTAAGATCAATAAATAATTTATTATTTTTATTAGAATATCAGATTTATGCTGGCATAAAGTAAATCATTAATGTCATGACAGAGTAGCCAATGATGATACATAACAGTTTTAATATACGATCCCTATTAGCATTCAATTCATGTGGAAGAACTTCAAAGAATGTAACGTAGAGGAAGGTACCTGCTGCCAAACTCTGCAATACTCCACTAGCCAAGTTCACACCCAAGCCTTTAGCTGAATTGGTAACTATAATGGCAATACTGATTCCTAGAGGAGACATGATGGCAAATATTAAGGTGGAGACAATGACAGTTGTCCACTTAAATTGGCATTGAACCAAGTTGAGACCTAGTGTGAAAGCTATGATGCATTTGTGCATCAGTACAGCAACCAATACACCAATGATATTTTCTACTGAATCCTGCAGACCTATGGCCAATCCTTCAAAAACCGAATGCATGGAGAGAGCTAGAACCAAAAGGAAGGAAGCAATGGCTGATTGTGCAGTACTGTCTGGTAGATGAGAATGTCCATGGTTATGATCATCCTGGTGGTTGTCCTTGGGTGACCTGTTAGGATCAAACCTGGTTGTTTTTGATTGATTCAGTGGTTGGTTGGGTATTTCGATGGAGGTTCCCTCTACACTCATGCTGTAACTAATGGTGCGTAGACTGTCTGAATGGGGTCGCCCTTCAGGATCTTTTTTAGGTTTCTTCCATGCCAAGACAATCTATACAAATAACAAATGTTAGTTTATAAGATTTTATATCAAATTTACCCTTGACTTTGCCATTTTACAAATCTAAATGACTAAATTCAGAATATAGTCATTCATTCAATTATAAAAGTATGATGTTCAAAATTTTCAAAAGGTTCAAAAATTTTGATAAATGCAATTTTCCTATTCTGTTGACATTATAGAATGGTTAAAAATTAAATTGTGGCAATATATCAATCAGTAATTTACAGGATGCTGTAATTATGATAACATTTAATGAAATTAATTTGTTTCTGTACATTACAATGTAAAGAATTAAGGAAATACATTTTAATTCAATATTAATTGAATGCCATATGTTATATATCATTGTTAACAGCAACCAACACACAAAAATTACATTTATTTTCTGAAATTAACTTTTTCAACAATTATATATTATGCAAAAAGTAATACTTTTTATGCATCTTATATTACTAAAGTTAATAAAATCATCTAAGAAAGAACAATTAGTACTGATCATACAGCATAACACTTGTATGAAACTCTAAAAATAATACATCTAAATATTCTTAAAAATATATCAAATAAATTCTTATTCTGATGAATTTAGATTTATACAATTATTGTTCTCAATTTAGAAATTATTTAACCTTATATTTGTAAGGAAAGAAGTGAAAATAATTGATTAAATATGTTAAAATTATAAAAATAATAACGTTTTAATCAATGAAGAAAAAAACTTAATTTTATAACAATCAGTAATTATTTCCAAAATAAGAAGATTGTTCAGGATCTCTCAAGGTTTCTATTAGGTAATATTTTATACTTTATTGCCATTGCATAAAAGTAGGCTGTATGTAAACATAAGTGAATTTATTCTACTTATTGATCATACATTCCTCTTTTTTCCAATTATAAATGATTATGAACTAGGCTAGGAATCAAAATACATTGATAATATAACTTAAATTTCTTGGTTAAACTATTTAAATGTGTATTGAGCTTATTCTATTACATTAATATTTTTTTAAATATGATTTTTCTTATTAGAAATTCAATTAAACTATATTTTGGCATGCCCTAGACTCAAACTTTTTGAAAATAAGTAAAATATAAGATTTTATTTCACTTAAAAGCATATAAAATTGAAACATTTAATACTCAAATAGAGGGAAAGCGATAGCTGTGTTATATATCTAGAATCAATTCATTTACATCGTAAACAAGATTTAAAAATTATCATTTGGCTCATTGTCTATTCAAAAAAAAAAAAAAATATTGATAATAGCAGATATCAAATCAGAGTTACAAACTTTTCCAACTGTAATAAGACAATATATTATGCAAAGAAACTTTATTATATTATATTTATAGCAATCTTGGATCCATCGTGTGAGGACTGTAAGGCTTCACATTTATGGAGGCCTAAAGAAACTTATTTCTTGGGCTTCTTAAAAAACTTAATTTTAAAATAGTGGCCAGGATCTTATTGATTTGTGACAGACCATGAACAAATAGATCATTAAGCACAGTATTTGTAATTATTGTATAGTTATTGTATAAAGAAGACTAAACTGAATGATAAACATATTTTTAAAGGAGGAATATAAATACTTTAAAGTAATGTATGTTAAATATGTAAGGTATGTTTATACAAATGAGCATCTGTAGAAAGAATTCTTTTTGAATAAATAAAAAATTTTGTATTAAAATAAAAAATATTTTTATGCAATAGCTGAAAGTTTCAGCTTTAATGTAACATGATATCTGCTTGTATGTGATGAAAATTCCTTCTTCAGAAAGTTATATTTATATTTCTTTTTATTTTTTTAATAAGTTAACTTTTTCCCATTTTATATAACATCAAATTTATTCATAAATGTAAGAACCAAGCAGGCTGGTGCACAGGATTTTTAAAAGGGAGGGGTAAAAAAATATTTTTTTTTTTTCAAAATTTTTACAGTATAGATATGTAGAGTGACACAATACAGTAGATTAAAGAGATACCCAAGACAATTAAGACACCAGGCTATCGAATTTGAGCGACAACCCCAGGAATTTTTCAGGTGGTAGTATGTTGGGCTCTGTTCCTCTCTGCTAGCCTAGTTGAACATGTTGAGCCTGATTAAAAAGGCACCTTTTCCTCCTGTGGGCATTAAGAGGGGGGAATGGAAGGGAATGCATCTCCCTCACTTGCATGTCTTGCCACCAAGCAGTTCAATTTAGCATAGCAAAATAAGCCTCATATTTATATTAGTGTGATATTAGCCAAAAACAGTAAATAAATTAATGAAACTTAGATAGATAAATATTTCATTTTGGTACTTTATTCTTATTACAGATATTTTTGCAATTTGATATTCATAATTAAGAATGATCTGGACAAGGGTCAGTCTGGGTAAGTAGGGAATTGGGTAGCATGTATGGTATCATATCATATTCAATAAATATATAAATTTTGATTTATTAATAGTATAACTATTTGTCAAAATTTTCGATGCAAACTTTAAATATTTATGTATCAGTATAAAAGATGCATGCAAAGTGTGCAGTTTTGAATAATTCATAGGGTATGATTATCTGAAAGTGGGTGTTATAAGCAATGGAGATAGAAGAGGGTCAAACTCTAACGATAAAGCTATCTTAGGAAATTGTTATTGCTAGTTTTTTTCTTTCGGCCTCTTCTAACGATAAAAAAGTTAGATAATGAATTTTCGAGGGTTTGTATACAGAAGTGGATTATCACCGGTGAATTGCGAATGTTTGAATCAAATGAGATAATGCTTATTGTTAACTTACCTGCTCGGTAGCCAAAACTAGAAGAAATCCAAAAGCCATGACAAATTCGCAAAGAGGAAATTCCGTCTTGAAATTCATGTTGAGTAAAACATCTTCCATTTGTTCTTTAGCTTCGGGAAAGAGATGGAGGAGGCACGTTGCTAAAAAAACTCCTCCACCGGCGCAGTTGAGACAACTGAGAATCCTCTCGCAGAATTTCCTTTTACCTTTGTTAGCTTGCTTCTTGGCAATTCTGGTAAGCAGAAGGGGCAGCATACAAAACAAGAACGTTACCCCAAAAAGGGAGAAGAGCGCTATAACTTTCGTTACCGTTTCTTTATTCATTTTCACTGCAAAAATTGCGTTTTAAAATGGAAATATTTGCAAAAATCCAAAACGTTTGGATAATTTTATAAACAACTCACCTTATTATAGTTTAAACGTTTGAACAATTAAAAGGATGTATCCGACATGCTCAGAGTTTAAATACGTTACGGAAGGAGAGGTCACAAGGTATTGGAGAGAGATTGATAAAGGTTAAATTAGAACTGATAAACCATTACAGATGAGGATAATAAATATTTATCGTCTACGCAGATAAGTTAATAAAACACCTACTCGACCCGAACAATAGTTAAAAAGGGGATATAGTAAATTGTCAACTTCCCTTTATGTCTGTAAACTAACTAACTAATGATTATGTTGCTAAAACTAACCGAAAAGCGGAAATGAAATTTTATACGTAACAACGAAGTCCGTTTCGTATTTCATGATACAAATTAGGTATCCGAGTAACGCGAGCATTCGAAATCCTACTCATGTATCGCTAGCGAGATCATTTTTCTATAGCAAATTACGAAGTACTGTAAGTTACTCACCTGTTCCGTTCAGAGCACGTTCTATATCGATTAAAAACTGATCCATGGTATCCTGATAGTTTACACAGCTATGAAAATAACTTTCACATCGTCTGAATTTTTAAACGAATGTTAAATACTTATTATATTCAATTTTAGCAAGTCAGAGAAAATAATAGCCGTCCATACGTAACTTGCTGACTTGTTTGTCGTAAAATAGATATAAAAAGGCAATAATTAAGAATAAATTTATATTTTTTTTATGCATTAAAAGCTATACATTGACCATTCGTGACGGACGAAGAATCGCGATACACCAGGAATTACAAATTTTGTTTCTGATGTGGGAATTATTCGAGGAACCACTTCGGTAGTTCGCATCATCAATTAAATGGATAACGTTAGATTAGTTCTTAAAATCTCTGCTGTTCGTAATTTTTTTTGTTTTAAACCATTGTTTTCGAAATCTGGAATTACCCAAGCATAACCGTAATTGTAATATTAACAATTTTGTTCTGTCATCATTTTTCCCAATTATTGCACACAATTTTATTTTAAAAAATTAGCGCATTTTGATAAAATGGTTACTATAATTCTCTCTGTATTAAGGAATTAAAATGAGTATACGTATGTTAATACATGTTTTTCAGAAGTATTTACGTATATCACATTGTTATATATATAAGAATATTTATTTTCATTTAATTGGGTGCCTATATAATATATAATACATAAAACAGTGTATGAAGCAGACATGTCACGGACATATGATGTGAAGATGGTGATATACTACTGTACTTTCTTCACGCTGAATATATATATTTTTTAACTCTCGCCACCCTTCTGTGGCACTTAATGGGTTTGTTATGGCTTTACAAGCTTCATATAGAAGACACGACGAAGGACATACACTAGCAGAAGAGATGACGGTGGCGCTCTCTAGAGGTAGAATTTGGAAGTTTGAGTTCCTATCTCGAAAATTGAGAAATACGGAAAAAATAAACGAGAAAGTTGCCGAGCATCATCGAATTAGTAAGGAAATGACGTTTTATAGAAACGGTTAGTGGAAAAAGGCACCATCACTCTACTCACGTAAATTCTTTGCACGATTTGTAATATGAATAATGCAATTATTATCCATTAAAATTTAAAGATTTTTACTAGCCGATTAAAACTTGCTGAAGCTCACTTTGAGTACGTACAGTACAGAGTCAACGAAAGGACGAAGAGGAACCAAGAGACGAGAAGCCTTTCCACTCAAACCTTCGGAGGGATGGGATCCATTTAGACTCCTGGGATAACTTTTTTTGAACCATTACAAAGAGAAACACTCCAAATCGAAGATGACGCGAAGGAAGGGAGGAAGCACGAAACTTGAAGTGGTATCCTTGTTATGTATACATAAGTCGGAAAAGTAAAAATGACTGTTTAATTTTAAAGAGCAACTGTGATTTTTCATGAGTTATTCGAATCACGCGAATTTGTTCCCACATTTTAAAAAATTTGTGTGGGGTTAACGGGCGGATCTACATAGCCCTGGGCTTCCAAGTGTCAAGGACCCACGAAATTGAATCCTTTTGTTAATAATAATTATTTTTTTCTTATTTTTTTAATATAAGATATAAAGTTTATAATTCAACACCATTTCATAAATAAATATATTTCAACTCTGATTTTGATGTTATTAAAAACGAATTTCAAACTCCAATTTAAAGATTCTTAATCTAACAAAAAATGGGTACCCATTGGACTTCAAATAAGCCCAAGGCCCGAAAAACCTATATCCGCCCTTGGGGGTTAATTAGGTGTTGACTGTGACGAACCTGTTTTGCATATTTCTTATTTTCGTATTTTTTCAAGATTGAGTAAATATTTAGTCAACTACATTTGTGTAAGATTTGTATATTGTGTAAGCACATTCTTTGAAAACTGAAACGATTCGTAACCTAATGCATGCACAGTCCGGTATTCAAAAAAATATTGTTTCATTTGAACCTTCAAAACGAATGTTAAAACGCGAATATATATGTAAATAAATGAATTTTTAAAACCGATAATTTACGTATTTCAGTATGTTTGAAATCAAGTGAACGGCTTATTTCATTTTCTACCCTCATCTAAGATGCATAACACATGTTACAAGTGAATTAATTAAAATTAAGTTAAATAATTGCATTCATTAGACTTATGGATATATTTTATGATTTTTTCAAATTGGGATTACCAAACTAAAACATCAATAAATACAGTATAAGATGTAAATTAATACCTCTGATAAAGCCTAAAAATCTTAAGATATTTTAGTTAAGATTTTTAAAAACAATGAATTAAGAATTATTCTGATTATTATTTTACAATAATAATCAGTACTATAATAGTACAGGGATCTGTATTATAGAATCGTTCGTCTTATTTCTTTTTTTATCCGATTATGGGCTCGAGCTCGGAGAGTTTTCTCAATTTAGGGTAATTTTAGGGTAAAACGAAGATGCCGTCAGGGTAGTTCTACCAGAAGCTTGAGGATTAATTTGATGTTGATTAGCTGTGACGATCTCTGCTAACCTGTTTTGCATATTTATTTTCAGGTAAGATTTTTTTTATGGCTTCAAAACGTAAGACTTTTTCGCCCGGAAGTTCTCCGGTGGATTATGATTCGAGAAGAAAGCTTCGTATCCCTAAGGGTATTAGTAATTTAAATGTTGATAAACTGTTAGAATGTGACTTTGAGGTGAAAGAGGGTTTGATAGCTTTGATAAAAATGAATCAGTCTGAATGATAAATTGGATAATTTTTTATTCCACGTTTGGATCGTCTTATGGTATGTGTTACGAATTTAGACGAGGCGTTAGTGAATTTAGAAACGCGAATGGAGCATTTGGAAAAGTCGGATTCCAGTGGACCTACTCCACGTATTTCTCAGGAGACTGAATTACAATTGTCGTCATCTCGAATGCGATTCTGCAGTTTGAATGTTATAGTAGATGTAATAATATTAGTCTCATAAGTTATGGAAACTCGGAAGCTAACGAAATCAATTATTAGATTTGTTTAGACCAGGGATGTCCAACCCGCGGCCCACTGCACCCTTAATTTATTTTGGTAAAGTATGTCGTAAAAATTATTCACGTTTCACTGGATACACGTTGATGTAGTAATGACGTAATTGATGACATAATTTGTAACTGACCAATCAAAAAGTTAGTGGCATGGTCTGCCATTTTGATTGTTTCAGTTTCAAAGATTTTCGTAATGAAGTGATGATGTTAGTGATAAAGAATGGGTATCTCTTTATCAGGCGGATTAAAAAAGACACATAATCCCTCTTTTCAAAAGAGTGTCATCCATATTTAGTGACTCGAGGCTAGGCATAATGCCAAAGTGGAAAGGGCTAATTTATTCTTTATTTCTATAAAGAATAAATTAGACCACTTCGGCATTTTTAATAATTATATGTATATAATATAGACGTATATATTTCTTTTGCTAACATAATAATTTAAATATTTTCAACCTCCAATTATATTCACAATTATTTCATCAACTTTAAATTTATATTTTTTAATTCATCATTTGATCATGGCATCTATTTCTATGAAAAGAGAAAATTCGTTATCTTTGGGCCAAAAAATATTTCGTAATTGAAACATGTAATACAGTAGAGCGTCGATTATCTGAAAGTCAATCATCCGAAAGAATTCCAGTCGGCAAATTTAAATTTTCGCCAGTGCTGTGGCGCTGCAATCTTTGGCTATGTCTTGGGCTACTCAAATATTTTGCGTTTTTGATACTAAATTAACTTCTGAAGTATACTTTTTTATTGTTTTTATATTTTTCAATATATTTATTTTGTTTGTACAAAATAAAAAAATAATTTTTAACAATACAAAACAATCGTTCGGCTTAACATCGATGAAAATTCAACGCAAAGCGACACGCAACGGAGAAAAATGTCAAGATGGGATAAATTAATATATTTTTTCGTATATAATCTGTTATCTGAAACATCGATCTTCCGAACAACCCCAGTCCCAATTGATTCGGATAATCGACGCTCTACTGTAATATTATTTGCCTTATTTGTCATGATAACATTGCCGTGTGAAATTGTGCATTTTCAGAGTTTATTAAAAAGAAAAGAAGAATTTCCTGCGAACTTTGAAAAATATAGTAAATTATGTGAAGTTTTGTTAAAAGATTTAATAACGAGATTTTCTGACTTCAGAAAATTAAAACTCAATTAAAATTGTTTAGTGATCCATTTTCGCGGGGTGGTCCGTCTGGATATGTCGAGCCCCCAGCTGAACCCATAATGGACTTGCTGTAAGAGGCCCACAGGGTGAAAAGAGTTAAAAAAAAAAAAGTAACCACAAAAGCAGATATTAACAATATTATAAAAAAAAGCAATGTCAAAAATAGCATCGAATTTATTTTGATTTTGTGCGAGTATAATTTTTTTTATTGTCAACAATACAGTATTTTTTGTAATTATATATATTTAAATTCAATATTCATATTTTGAACTTTTTAAAAGGGGATATTAATTGCCCTTGTGGCCTGCTGAATACCTTAATTTCTAATTTGGCCCATTAAGAAAAATGGTTGGACAGGCCTGGTTTAGACACTCGATCGAGATAGAGAATATGAGTATTGATATATCAGTGTTTTTCTCATGGCACACTTCCACATATAATTAAATTTCCGTGGCAAAAATTTCTACGTAATAAATCACGTGATTTAAAGTTGTGTTTGTAAACATTCTATCCTCACATTACTTGAAACTTAACCTAATTCTTTTTGTGTATA